GAACCCTGTATCCCTGTATCAGGTTCAATTCAGATGGATCTCCACCGGATGCCCAAGCCAGCCAAGACTGCTGAGAAGTGCTCCCTGAACCAGCTGGATGACGTCTTCCACCCAGAACACTTTGTGTCTCTTTTTGAGCAGAAGTCAGTCAAGGGCTGGTGGCCATGCATGGCTGAGCTGGGAGAGAAAAGGATACTTGCGGTGAGTCTTCACTGCCTTTGGCTGGGTTGGCAGTGCTGGCATTGGGGAGAAATGCCCACTAACACCAACAGTGCCGCCCTTATGGCCATCCTCCCACCACCTCTCCATGTGCCCAGGCACGGAGAGCTCCAGCACCTATGTCAGGCAGGCAGTTTGTCACCAAGCTTTTATTTAGTGCTTACTATGTGCCCAGTGCTGGAGATACAAATTCAGGAAAAAAGAAAGACAGTCCCTGCCCTGGAGGAATTTACATTCTAATTCTCTTCTCCCAACACATAAAAGGGAGCTGCAAAGGGAGGTGGGCTGGGGAGGAGGTGTACCCAGCCTGGGCCCCTTCTCCAAAAAGGTGGCCCCCAGGAGAAACTTATCAATAGAAGAAGGGGCTGCAGGGCTGAGGGAGCATTCAAGGTGAGAAGGCCACAGGCACTGCGCAGTCCAGCACAGCAAACATTAATTAAGCACTTACTGTGTTCCAAGTCATAGGGGCTGATGGAGCCCTAAGGTTTAGCTAAGATGAATTCCCAATCTGAAGGAGCTTACCAGGTTACTACCTGCCTTTTTTTTTTCTCCAATTACTAGTGAAATAGAAACTCCTTGAGAAAAAGGACTGGGTTTTTTTTGTTTGTTTGTTTGTTAGTTTTTCCGTCAGAAGTACCCAGCACAATTCCTAGCATGTAGTAGGTATTGAATCTTATGGGTTGTCTTTTTTTTTTAAACTATGCAGCAACGGGCTTAAGCTGAGTGTAGTGTGGTGAGGAAACTGCTATAATTGGAGTCAAAAGACCAGGGTTCAAGTCTTGCTGCTTAAAATCTGGTGATATCCCTTAACTTCACTGGACCTCTCATCTGTAAAATGAAGTGACTCTTGCAGCATTTGCTCTGTCATCCTATAAGACGGTCTCAAAGGTCCCTTTCAGGTTTCTCTTAGACCCCTTCTGGCTCTGACCTTGAAGTCCAGAGTAGGGCCCAGAGTTTCTCCGGTTCTGATATTTTGTTTTCGGCTCTTCCAGCTCTGACGTTCTCTGTTTTGAAGTTCTGTCTGTCTTCCATGTTTTTTGTTCTGTAGTAGTTTCTGGTTTAGGTGTTTTGTACTCTATAATCTCAAATATTTGATGGTTAAAAGGCCCTTTTAGCTCTACCAGGCAGCTTAGCCCTCTTGGAAAAGTCATGAAGACTCATAGACTATCAGGGCTAGAAGGTTCAAACTCCTCAAGTGACTTTCCTAAGGCCTCACAGGTAGTGAATGGCAGAAATAAGGCCTCTGAACCAGGTCTTTCTGATTCCCACACCCAGGGCTCTTTTCATGAGACCAGTCTGCTTCCCACCCTTACCTTTTCCCTCTGGCCAGCTCACTCCCTAGTCTCTCCTGGTGTGGTCAAATGGATGCCTCCTCAGCCATAACCAGATTACCTCTGTCTTTACAGGGCAAGTTGGAAATGACCTTGGAAATTGTTCCTGAGTCAGAACATGAAGAGCGGCCTGCTGGACTGGGCCGTGATGAACCCAACATGAACCCCAAGCTTGAGGAGCCAAAGTAAGAGATTTATCTGTATTGAAACCTCAGCTCTGTTGTGTGCATTTTTGGGGTGCTTGGGTGCAGGGCAGAAATTAGGCAAGGGCCAGAGCCCCAAGATTTGTGCCCCCCCCAGGCCTCCCCCATCTGGCCCTGGTCCTCCGCTCCCTTGAGGCAGTGCTTTGACTCACTCTTCTAACCTTGGCCTTCCCCCTTGCCACAGGCGGCCAGACACATCCTTCCTCTGGTTCACATCCCCGTACAAGACGGTGAAATACATTCTCTGGCGAAGGTTCAGGTGCTTTATTGTGATTGTCATCATCTTGTTCATCCTGATCCTCTTCCTAGGAATCTTCATCTACGCTTTCCCGGTAAGGAGATGGGTGGGGGTGGTGGGGGGCAGGGAAGTCAAGGGAGGGGCCTCTCCAGGGAGGTAGGGAGGGATTACGGACATGAAACACTGCAAACCAGAGCCTCCTTCATCCTGAGCGGGTTGGGGAGGGGTGGAGGGGAAGGAAGGAGCCCTGAGCTGGAGGGAGATGGGGTGAGGGATAGGGGGAGTCAAGGGAGAGAGGCTGGGGAAGACAGCCCCTGCCCATCGGGAGCCCATAGGGAGCCCATCGGGAGCTCCTGGGATGCCCTGGGTGCCATGGGGAGAGCTGGAAATTACGCTTAGGAAGAGCAGAGTTAGAGCCAGGAGGGGAGGCAGGCCCAGAGGCAAGTGTGTGCCCCACCCCACGGTGCCCTATGGGCCTTGTGGGAGTTTGGACACCAGGGAGTTCCATATGAACTGGGAAGGAAGAGGGGCCCTTTAGCTCACAGGGACAGGGACGTCTCAGAACTGAAATCCGCTTTTGAGGGCAGAGTTCAACCCCCCTTATCTTACTGGCACATCCACTGGGACCCATACAGGGGAAGGGTCTTGGCCAAGAGCAGTCATGCAGCAGCAGGTTGGTGGCAGAGCCAGGACTGGAAACCAAGTCTCAGGTTCACGGGATTTTACCCCTCTCCTCTAAGGCCTCTTCCCCTACTGGCTCCAGCCAGCCTGGGCCCTGACCCAGTTGGGAAACCTCGCTCTGAAAGGAACAGAGCTGGGGAAAACTGACAGCTCCAGGCAGTCTGGTTGGACTCCACTCATCATTCGCGCCCCTCCCCCCCCCACCTCATCCCCACCAGTGCGGGGAGGGCCATGGCAGGGGGGTGGGAGGCTTGGCCAAGGAACTGGAGGGACCGCTTTGATTCCAGAGCTGGCTTTCCCCGGGGCAGCCTCAGAGAACATCCTGTCCCAATTAGAGGCCCCTGAGTGCAGGGGTTGCGGGGCAGAGGGATGGAGCAGGGGATCCTCGCCAGGCTGGAAGGCATGTGCTAATCAAGGGCATTGCCATTTGTGATTGCCTTCTCTGGGGCTGGCCCCAGGACAGTGGGGCTTCCATCCAGGAAGTCATCTGCCCCCCTTCTCCCCTAGCCTTTGAAGCTGAGCCCACACTGGGTTTCCAGGGATGGAAATGGATGGACTGCTTTTCCTTTCCAACTCCCAGGGCAGGGAGTAAGGATGGCTGAGCTTTCAAGGTTCTTCTGCCCTGAATTGTCTCCCATTGTGGGCAGACTGGGTAGGGGGAGACCCATGGAATGAGAGGAAAAAAGAGGTCCCTGCCCTTAGGAAACTCTTGCTGTGATGGGGAGACACAGTTTCTGTCTTGGGGAGATCTTAGCCTAATAAGAAGACTGGAGACATATTTTTTAAAAAAGATCTAAGAAACAGAAACAAAAAAAAAGAATAAGTAGAGATTAAGATGTATCCTGTAAGCATCAAGTATTACAGGGTTAATCAAGGAAGACTTCCTGGAGGAAGGGGCTTTTGACCACATTTTGGGAATGGAACCAAGGATCAGCTGCTGATGAGGCAGAGGGGGAAAGGGAAGAGCTAGGACTGCTCCTCTTCAGGGGAGATACGGGGCAGGGAGATGAAGTTGGTGATGGGGGTGGCAAGTTTAGAATCTCAGGTAGGGGGTACAATTCTTGTAAAATAAAATACAGTTAGGATTGTTAGGCTTGGAAGGAATACCTGAGTTCAGATCCTGCCATCTGATTTTACAGATGTGGAAAATGGATCCATTCCAGCTCTAAATCAATGCCCCTATGAGGCTTATGTGAGGTAGGGGCAAATAGTAGCTCTGAAATGAAGATTCCCTACGTCCAAGAGGGAGCAGGAAAGGTCACTCCTTCTCCTTCCTCGTCTCTGGTCAGGGGACAATCTCCGAAGTCAATTTCAGACTCAAATCTGATTTCTCCTTCGCTTCCACAACCCTGGAGAACAGCATTCTCATAGGTCCTGTCTGAGGGTCCTGGCTCTGGGCTGGAAGGGGCTCAGAGGTACCTAGGCTAGCCCTCTCATTTGATGCTTGCATAAACCGAGACCCCAAAAGTTTAGTGATGTATCCAAAGTGATGAAGGTTCCAGCTGACGCTGAGCCTCACTAACCATGTCTCCCTGTTTCTTGCCCTTCCCTTTCTCCTTCCAGAATTATGCTGCCATGAAGCTGGTGAAACCGTTGAGCTAATGGCTGGCCCACCTGCCTCTGGAGATGCCCCCCGGAGGTGCAGCATCCTGGGTCCCCAAGTCTCTCTTAACCACTGTCCAGCCCCTCTGACACCAAAACCCAGCCCCAGCTCGTCCAGGGAGTGGGAGCTGCCTCAGGCTTGATGCACAGGCAGATAGGAAGCGGTGGGAGGGCGGTCCCTCACCTCAGGACACCCATGCACTGAAGGGTTCCTCTCTCCTGACATCTCTAGCACTCCCCCTTTGGGTCACTTGGATTTTTAGAACAAAATGGAGTTTAAGTGGCCAAGGTGGATCATCTAGGGGTGTGTGTGTGTGTGTGTGTGTGTGTGTGTGTAGGTGCTTCTGTGTATGTATGTGTGTGTCTACCATGATGTTTTCTGGAGCATGAGCCAAACCTGCCAGGATGGAGAGGGTGATAGAATGGGGTCCTCCTTTCTTTTAAAACAGAGTAAGAGAGTGCAGGAGAGAGGGCCTGGGGGTGGGGAGGAAGATGTGGCCTTCTTGAGACATTGTCAAGACCCAGGTGTTGGACCCTGCTTTTCTCCTTCCTTCTTTGCCTCCTGGGGCTCCCTGGCCATCCTCTCTTTCCTCTCCTCTCCTTTTTGCTGCTTTTACAATCCCAGGATCTCAGAGTTGGAAAGGACCCTGGTGGTCGTGCCGCCCAAACCGAATGTAAGAAAGAAGCCCTTTCTCCCCCATCCTCACCAGGGCTCGTCTCTGTCCCCACCTCCTCTCTCAAGCCCTCCCTTCAGCTTTTCCTCCCTTGTCATCAATGCCTTCTTTCCTGCCTGTGGAGTCAAATAGAACCCCTGATTTCTCCCCTCCTCCTCTCGCACCATCCCTTCTCTCCCTCTCTGCCCATTTCTTTCCTTCTCAGAATCACAGATATCAGGGTTGGAAGGGACCTCAGAGAGCACCCAAATCCCCCCTTTGACAGACATGACACAAAGCCTACCGGTTGTTCAGCAAGCATTCATGAAGTGCCTGCTGCGACTGTGCGAGGTTTGGGGATATAAACTGTCAAGTCAAGAAGTATTTATCATTAAGCACCTACTATGTGCCAGGCACTGTTCTGAGAGCTGAAGATACGAAGAATTAAACCATCCTTAATCTCAAGAAGCTTGCCTCCCCTCTCACTCCCTGTCCCCTTTCCTTTTCTTTCACCCTGTCCTCTATCTCCCCTCCTCTTTCTCCTTCTTCCTGTTCCTGCTTCCCCTTCTTCATTCTGCTTCCTCTGCTCCTTCCTTTCACCTCCCCATGCTGCCCCCCCATCCTCTACACTCCTGGGCTTGGGCTTGGGACCTGATGTCTCTTTTCTTGCTACTTGTCTCCCCTGGCCACCCACCCTCTTAGGACTACTTAGCCATAGTTCATTCTTCTCTGACAGGGTGTATGGTCTATGGATCTGTGTGCGTGAGTTGGAACTCAGTTAGCACAGTGCTTGGCACATAGGAACTTAATAAAGGCTTGTTGATTTGATTTCTCGACAAGAAGGAGAAGGAAGATTTTGGAGTAAGTGAACAACAGCTAACTTAGAAAGCAAACGGGGGTGGGAGGGGTCTCACTCCATCTTCATCCTTTGGAATCCCCTTGTCTTGGCCAGATGGAGGTGCAGGGGGCCTTGTCGAACAGGTGTGATCCTTGGCACGCTCACTCCTGGAGGCTCACTCCAGTTCTTCAAGCTGACCACAATTCTGTGACCCACAGGGGCATCCCTGTGTCTGAACCAGATGCTGTGTTTTAAGTCCCAGACAGCAGCACTCCGGGCAGGGTCTCTCTGCCTTTCTGAACAGCTCTGAACAAAAGGAGATGCTTAATAAAAGGCTTTTGGATGACAGCAGTGTTTTCTGACTTCCTGGGGGAAGGGCAGCAAGAATGAACAGCCCCCAGGGTTCTTTGGAGTCTAATTTCTGATTCTATTCCATTCCAAAAACATGTATTAACATTTTTGTTCTGGGGAAGGCTGGGCACTTGGTGCTGAGGTTTATATAACTAAGAAAAAATAGGCCCTTCCCTTCAAGAGCTTTTATTCCACTGAGGTTATAATATGGGTAATGTGGGGTGTTGTAACTGGTTCACAGGGAGGCCAGAATAGCATCTCCCCCCATCCTTTAATTCCTGCCAGAAGGGGAAGCAAAACATTGCAGCCAGAGACCACTCTTCTGTCCTCAGAGAAAAGAGGTATGGTCTAGAATTATGTCTATCTGCTTCCTTAAATATTGTTAGTCTAGGGGAAGTGACTAAGGTTTAAACTCAATTCCTGATTGCTATTTCTTTTTCTTTTTGGCTAGGCAATGGGGTTAACTGACTTAGGGTTGCACAGCTAGTGAGTGTTATGTGTTTGAGGCCAGATTTGAACTCAAGTCCTCCTGACTCAGGGGCCAATGCTCTATCCACTGCCCAACCTCGCTGCCTCCCTTGATTGCTATTTCTTATTGGGAAAAGGAGGACCTTAAGCTTGAGTATAAATTCAAGGCTTGACTCCCTTCTCACCAAATACCAGTTCTGCAATGAACACACCTAGCAAATTGCAAAGAAACCCATTTATCTAAGTCAAAAGAGTAACAGGAGTCAGAGAAAGTAGACGCAGGAGAACATGTACCTGGCAGATACAGATGAAAGTTCTCCTTTTGGGAACAAGGTAAGTCAGAGAGAGAGAGACAAAGACAGAGACAGAGAGACAGACAGACACACAGAGACAGCCAGGCACACAGAAAGACAAAAACAGACAGAGACAGACAGACAGACAGACAGACACACACACACACACACACACACACACACACACACACACACACAGGGTGTGCCAGATCTCCAAGTCTCTAGTGTAGCAATCTGTGAACAGGAACATGGTGGAGATGGCCAGCTCCTCTTGTGTTGGCTTCTTCGCAGACTTTCTCTCCCTTGGGTGACCTGAAGAGAGGTTGGCATTGCAAATCTTCTCTCTCAAAGTTGGAAGCCAGAAGAGCCTGAAGTGGCCAGACCCCTCTTCTGCCCCACTTCTCTTCCCGATGCTCACACAGACCTAGGACGTTGAGGGGGAAGTCCTGTACTAAAGTGCTCGTGAGAAGTGTAGGGCAATTTGAGGAGGGAATAGAGGCATCATGAAAGGCTTCTGGGAGGAGGCAGCCCTGGGGTTGGACTTGGAAGGACGGTTAGCTGTAGGCAAGTGCTGGGGAGGCAGAACTGGGCAGGGAAGGCTGTGAGCCACAGAGCAAAGGCAGGCCTGACAGGAAATCACAGGATTTTGAGCCAGATGGGGCCTGAGCAATCTTCTAGTTCATCCCCTTCCTATTCATAGATCAGAAGTGTATCAGAGCCCGGGTTTGAACTAACGTCTATTTTCACCCCAAAGTCAGTGGGCTTCCCCCCATTACCCTTTGCTCGAAGAGTAGACTGATGCAGTCACAATCTATTGCTCTGGAGCAAGAGTTCTCGACCTTTTCTGTGTTCCGGACCCTTCTTCAGTCTGGGGAAGCCCATGGACTCCTCAGAATAATGTTTTTAAATACATAAAATACACAAATACAAAGGAAATCAATTATGTCAAAATAGAGTTATCATTTTTTTAAAGTTTGCATTCCCCAGGCCAAGAGCTCTAGTCTGAGGAGGGATTTGAATGTGGGTCTTCCTGATCCCCAAGACTAGGGTTCTGTCCACTGAGTCAAGGTGCTTCTGATGGACAAACAGAAGGGTATGAGGAAGCCTTTTTAGGGTACATTTAAAATCTGAGCATGTCTGTAGGTAGAAGGGAAGGAGCCAGTGGAAAGGGACAGATTGAACACACAGGAGAGAGGGAGGAGGGATAGACACCCAGACGAGGTGGGCAAGGGAGGGCAGTGGCTGACGGGATCAAGGACACAAGTGGAGGGGTTGGCTTGCCAAAGAGGGAGAATGCCTCTTCCTCTGAGGGATGAAGGAGGGATTTCAGGGTTGGTGTAGCTAAACAGAAATGCTGAGCAGGGGAGCTCAGGGAATTGTTGCCAGATGGCCTGGCTGTTCTCTAAAGTGGGAAAGCAAGAGAGGGGAATGATAGTTCTTGAAAAGAATGGGAGAGATGTGGAGGAGTGTCTCAGAGCTGAAGACCATGGATTCCATCCCCATGAAACCTAGACAAATCGAGGCCATGTGGTCCCGACCCCTCATTTTACAGAAATGGAAACTGAGGCTCAATCTAATCCCTCACTCCACCCTTCTCTGAAAATTTCAGCCTGTCTTAGAGCCTGGAATTCCACCATTATTAGAGCACCATTCTTTGGAGTTAAGGCATTGCCCCTGCTTAAATGTAGATAGCCACACAAGGGGAGCACAAAACTGTTGGCTGCGGGGAGTACTTTGCATTCTTTCTGAAAGTAAGATGCTGACTAGGCCTCTCTGGAACTGGATTCAGGATGAGCACAAGTTGCTGTTGGGCAGAAGGTGAAGGGGGAGAGGCAGCAGGGCTTGGTGGGGGGAGGGGTGGGGTGATAGAACATTGCACTTGGAGTCAGGAAGGCCTGGGTTAGAATTCTGGCTCAGACACTTACTGGCTATGTGAACCTGGTTGAATCACTTGCTTCAGTTTCTTTATCTTTAAAATAAGAATAATGATAGCACCTACCTAATTCAGAGAGCTGTTGTGAGGAGCTAATGAGAGAATATATATGAAGTGCTTTGCAAGTCTTAAAGCCGCCCTATGTGGATGTTTATTATTATTATTTTTCAGAGCATAGGGTATTTCCTGAGGAGAATAGACAAGTGGGGGAACCCGAGGAGAATGACTGTACTGTGGGAAAAAAGTGGGGGGAAGGGAGGGAAGGAGGAAAGAAGGAAGGAAAAGAAGAAGGAAGGAAGGAAGGAAGGAAGGAAGGAAGAGGGTGAGGATGCTAGAGAGGGGCACTGAAAAGTGAGATGGGGAGCACTGAAAACTAGTGTCTTCCTTTGTTGCCTTCTTTCTTCATTCTCTTCTCTCTTTCTTTCTCTCCTATTTCCCATTTTTTCTTTCTTCTCCTCTCCTGTCCCCTCTCCCCTCTGCTCTCTCCTCTGTTCCTCTCCTGTACTCTCAATTTGCCCAGGGTCACAAAAAGCTAGACTTGGAACCCAAGTCCTTTCTTTGACTCTGACTTAGGACTTTGTCCACCTTATCATGCAGAAGTCTTCCACAAATAAATGCTAAAAAAAACCCCCAAAACAAGAAATATTTGTTTTAAACTGAAGAATCTCAGATTCTGTCTCTCTCTCTCTCTCTCTCTCTCTCTCTCTCTCTCTCTCTCTC